CATTCCTCAACATATTTTCAGAACTTAATTAATCCCATAGGTTCTCTGTGAGTATCCTATTGATGTGTAGTTATAATTGTAAGATTAAATGTAAGGTAAACACTGGGTCAGAATATACATATGATGTAGTATAAATATAATACTGAACTATGTACATTCATTCATTAATAAAAATATATTTAGGAAAATGAAATTTAACCAAAAAGGACAGAACGAGCATAAAGGTGTTAACTTGTTTTTCATTCCTGCAGGAAAGCATCAAACACCATTCAATGTTAAGTTAAAAATATAAGAGGTATCATCTTGAAAGTGTCAATGTAAAGAGTTTACACGTAAAATAATGGAGTTTGCACGTGCTGTACTGTCATGTGAAACGCATAAAGTGCAAATTCAGCTTTGAACCTAACCCCTGCTTGTGAACCTGAGAATAAGCAACCCGCAATACTCAGATGTGTTAACTTCAAATAATTGCAGCCCATCGAAGAAATATTATCTTGTGATATTTTCTGTTTCAATTTATAATCCACCGAATTTTTTGAATTAAACTCTTAACACTAAAATTGAAAATGTTAATGATTTTATTCTTTATCTTGGAGTTGTGAACTCAAAATGCAGAAAAATTGAAAATAATATTTCTTATCTCTCTACCCCTTGGTACCTCGATAATTTGCCAAATAATTATGAAAAGTGAATTTTGATACAGTTCATTATTCACTCGCAACATATTAATAAAGTGTAAATACTGGAGTGAAATTTCAATTAAATATAATTTGTATTAAACACGCGATAATATTATTTTAATGAATGATCCAGTTAAACATTTGAATGTTTTCAGGTTGAATAGAGAACACGTATAGTTACCAAAAGAATTTGATGATATAATTCATACTTTCTATTGATCGGCACAGATTATATACATGTTTTAACGAAAAAAAGGTTAAAATGCAAGAATAACAGCACTAATAAAACCGATTTAAAAATGAGTTTAGGGGTGCCGCTAATCCCATAAACACTATTTTTCGCCCTCTTCACTACATTTTAGAAAATCGCGAATAAATTGTATTTAATGTTATTTTTATAGATTTTTTTGGTTGAGGGAGTTCCCACGTTACTCCGGAACAATATTATGATCATCACTTTATAATAGAAACGTAGAAATAGAAATGTAATATATTTAATGTTCCTGAAATCTGATTTTCAATTCTAAGAAGAATCAATGAAATTAAATGTTAAAGAACGCATATTTTGCTGGAGTCTTGGTTATGTGAGAGATTCAACATTCTAAGCAGTGTAGTCAACGTATAGCCCTTCAAACAGTGGCATCAGAACTACTGCCAGATTTCATGTTAATACGATTAAAGCTTGACACCCAAACTTTGGTAACAATTACAAGGTGGCAACAACAAAAGATGTAAAGACTCCCCGATTGTCGTCTTTTGACACCATCCGAGGAAACCTTCATCTATATGTTTTTATAATTCACAAAATCGACCCACAAATACATTGACAAGTATTAATATCTATCAAAACAATTCTCGGGTAATATTGAGAGTTTTATGTACATTTAGGTGCATACATATTCGACCTCATCAATTCTTTTCACTTTGCAGAGCGATACGTCTAGGAGAGCTTTGAGATGAGCAGCGCTTTCAGAGAAATACGAGTATCCTATTTCAACTGCAAATCTCTCGGGATCCATCGGTCTCTCTGTCTATCGATGTCCGCGTCATTTTGACAGCTTTCGCCCTCTTCCACTTAAGGGAATACGCTTTACCGCACACGAACGTCCCCCAAGCGGTCGCGTAAAAAGTTCATGGAAGTTAGGAGGAAGGAATGAGATAGAAGGAAGCTATTTTCCCAACCTTTTCAACGAGCTTAACGATCGCTAAACTTCTGGAAATACCTTAACTGATCGTTGATCATAAAACTCCGTCTATAAATTAGAGTAAAAAATGTGTTGGTGTAAATTATCTCTTGAGTATTAATAAAACCCAAAGACATAAAGTTCTTTCGAATAATAGCGCTTTCATTCACACATCTGCAAAAAGATATATCGAAGAAAAATAAAAATTACTTCGAAACCTTTTTGTATTGTTTTTTCTTCAAACTACGACAAAAGGGGTTGCCATTGGTGGATAACTCGCTAACAACCGTTTATTTTAAAATTGTTTTCCAGCTAAGAACCTCCGAACGAGATTCCAGCACGGAACATAGTTTAGAAATTGTGTATTTCAGTCATTTAACTGAAAGATACAGAAGAGGGTTTCAGTTTAAGCACGGGTGTAAAATTTGTCGCATTTCTAATACTCTAAATAGAATTTTAAACTCAACAGCAGCGAAAAATGTCACCGTAAAATTTTCTTTATACAAAATACAGTATTTAATGATGTCAAAATACGTTTACTGTTGTCATTGCATTCGAATAACAAATATTTCCTTTCTCTAAAAAAATACTGAACTATTACGACTGTTTATGGTCCAAGATTTTAGTAAATGAAGAGAAAACGTCATATCACTCACTGGAAGTTGTGACATCAACAGAAACTTTTGTTTTTGAACAAATTACACATTTTTCATTTAAAAGTTTTGATGTGAAATTGGTGCCTGTTTCAGAAACAATATGTACCACAATTTTCAATTTCTGTACTTGTATGTGTGTAAACTTTACAAACTATACGCGTTCAAACTATTTCCATATCATTACTTCCCAACAGGAAAAGTATACAGAAAAACTTTAGACGATTACAATCTCTATAAGATATAGAATCATGGATCTAAAGTTTCCATGAACATTGGTAGCACGCAATACATCCATTCAGCAAATATTAAACATTGTCTAATTTTTTAACTGAGCAGGTACTTTTTATCCTCTCAGCATCTGAGAACGGAGGTTTTCAAAGTTAATGGTAGAACTTTTGTTAACACTAAGAATGAAATAGTAACTGTTATAAGTGCAATGCTTCGTCTCGGGAGGTCCTCTAGTTCGAGTCCTATCGGAGGCAACTTTTCGAGACTAGCTAGAAGCTGGCTGAAAGAAACTTCTAACGGCATGCTAACGGTTGTTTTGCATGAGTTGTTGTGTGTGTGTGTGTATTTTTCAATAAGAACCAGGCGAATAACGGAGCAGTATCCGAACAATCGGCCACGGACATTGCCAAATACATCTTTCATCACCCTTGATCCCCCTCTTCCCTTTCGTACAAATGATGACTCGTCCCTGGAAGGGGAAATCCCCGTATGCCGACGTGCAGATCGATACCAGGTCTCACTTTCTGGCGATGGAAGTCCCCTCTCATTCCCGGGATATGAATGCACTGCACTAACGGAACTAAAGACCAAAGCGGTTGGTGCGCCCGGAAACACAACACTGGAATACAGGCCTTTTGAAAGAAGAAATACTGGTTATCCGAGCACAAGCCGGAAGAGGCAAATATACTTAATCCTGAAAAATCAGAAGAAGAAGCTTTGGAACCTAAGCGTTCGATCTATCTTTTCCTTTTCGTCTCAATCCCTTCACTTATGTATAATCCGTCTCATAGCTTATTGTTCTTTTCTAGGAATATTTATTATTTACAATTGGCGTTCTCTTGTTCTCAATTAGGCGTCTCACGTAACGGCGCACGTTCACGACACTACTGCACCTGACATCATCAGCACTAGTGCCGAGGCATCAGTTAGGCGATCGATAGACGAGTCGATGCAGCAACCGCCGAAAACACAACGGCTAGCGCTCGCCATTCTGCTTTAAACAGGCGACCCGTCAACACGGAGCTGAACGAGAGTGACGAAGCAGATTTCGAAAAGAACACTGTTCATGTGCAATAGGGGCCAATGGACTTGAAAATATATTCAGCTGGAAATACTATAATCGCATTATAAGCATGGAAAGAAAGTGCGTGGTTGGCAGCAGATAAACGACATATTTTATTGCTCCGTGTAATGGCGCCATCTGCTGCTTAGGTGATAGAGGTACCGGACAAGAGAAGTAACAGTCATTATGCATAAATTTACATCTTTCGGTGTCAGCCCCAGTTTTACTGTGGCTTGGTATAATCCAGAATCATCAGGTCAACGCGACCGTTGGCGAAATTCAACGGGGACCAGGTGCCTGACAGAGAGGACGGCACCATGACGTAACAGCTGTGTAACGGATCCCGACTGAAGACAAGGTCACACCACGAAGGCGAAAAGCAATGGAAAGTCGAAATAACCGTCATTAAGCAAAAATATAGAATTTTTAATTTGCTTCTCGGAGATTTCTTTGACGAAATTGTTTAAAGAATTGTTAAGGCAGTCGAACAGATACCTCAAGTTATTTATTTGGTTGTAAGATATACATTGAAAAGGCATAAGTAACTATTAAATTACGAATGGTTGCTTATACGAGTATATTTAGAAAGAAAGAAAATATGTATTATGTTACCATGCGTTAATATACCAGTGTACTGCGTGGCAGGAGTATTTTATTAAACAATAGGTAATTATATAGCGTTTTTTTGTTTCTGTTTATAGACCAGGCAAAAGAAATAACATATCATTTTAGGATATGTAAGATTTACTGATTAACCAAAGTTCACTTCTTGGAAGCTAGTGTGACAATATGAGTTTCTTTCAGAGTCAGTTGTACATGTACTACTTTGATTCTTTTTGAGATTACTCATTTCATTATCAATTCAGACGGTGTCTGTGACTTTATTATTTTTTTGTATATACATTTAACTCTGTACTACATTTATGAGTGTGTTATGTAATGCAACGTTGTTTCTCTTGATGCATTATACTTGTTTCTTATCAAAAGAGTGGTTTTTCTGTTAATCTTAGATTACTAAAGGCCCCTTTCCCACTAGTAAATTATACAACACTGATTAACCAGGGGATCTTTTCAGAATATCAATGTATTAAGATCCCGTTAAGGGGTTTCACTATGCCACCAATTCCGATGGGTTTATTTATTATGATATGAGAATGGGTTTCTGAATTTATGAGATTCAAAGCCAATCATGGTTAATGTAAGAACAATTTACGAATATTAAGTCATATTTAACTTTCGAAAAAAAAGCGAGATATCATTTTTTTTGTGGCTAGTAGTGTTACATTCGCAATTGAAATTTATGAATGTAAGGAGAATTAACAGTAACGTCTCAAGTATTCTCTTTCTCTTGTTCCATCTTTCATCTCATTACTCTACCTCATATTATCACAAACCTTCACGCCGACCCAAGGAGATCAAACGGCAGTCTCGTTAAAACTCCGGCTACAATAGACCAGAGTATATATCGCTTCCCTATGTCAAACCATTCTATAAATTTTTACTTCTCGTATACGTACTACAATTTATTCTTTAATTATTGTCGTGTACATTTTTTTTGATATATCAGTCGTTTTTACGCAATTTTGGGTCAAATACGGGCAGTCTTAACATTTACTCAAAAACTACTTCCTTTTTTTCTTGAAAATGTTTATACGGATAGGACTAAGTGGTCTGAAAAACATAGTCTAAAAACAATTATGGTGTCTTCTTTTGATTTGTCAAAAAATACACCATTTTTTAATACTTCTCAGGTCGTTAATATACAAATTACCGGCGTTTTTATATATTATTGCGTTTGTGAGAACAAATACTTAAAATAATTTCTTAGGAAGAGCCTCGAAAGCTTTTTTAGAAAACGAGATTAAATTTGTGCATTTCCAGAAACACCCAAACGAGATTTTCTCAAAAACGTTCAAATGTAAAAAAATGTATTTAAGACACCAATAGATGGCAACTTAAAAGAGGGTGAGGGAAAACAGAAAAGCTAGCCCAGACCAAAGATAAACTATCTAGTACGAGAAATGCTGTGCCGTTCTGAACACTATTTTATTGTGATTTTTTTATGTTAATTCTGGTACGTGTGCCTTATGATGATACCTGAATGAATTGGTGATTTAAAAGATAGATAATTACTACCATATACGTCATGGAGCAATAGTCGAATGAGGGGCACAGAAAGCGGGAAATCTCGCGAGAAAACCTTACGCAGTCTGCTTTACGGTCCAACCTCCGGTAACGACGAGCGTTAAGACACCGTCATACGGCTCGAGCTTACCGTTCTTGTGAGGATGCGTGTTCAATTCGTGGGAAGTCATCTGGATGGCACCGCCTGGCGGGACCGACGTCGACCGTATTCTTTGAACAGTATTTTCCCTGGTATTCCTGATCGCTTCCAAGCGAAGGATGAACCACCTCTCTAGAATATTGGCCGTGGTCCGCGTGAGATCCTTCCTCCCCTATCCTGCTCCCAGTCCCAACCTGAGGACAGAGTGATCATCCCCAACCTGATAACAGAGTGGTGAGTTGACCGCTTTTATTCGTGTGGACAAACCCACTGATGATCGACAAACGTCGGTGTCCATGGCATGAAACCGGCTTTAGAAAAAATAAGAAGAATCTGCTTTGAGCAACACAACTTACACCAGAATCCATTGTAATTTGAACTCCCGTAGCCAAATGTGTAAAGCTAACGCCGTGAACTCACGCCATTGGCATTCACATGCCACATTTCGACACTTGCCTCATAGCTAAGTCGAATTCAGCCGCAATCTGGAGGAGAATGCTAGCGACCGACTCCTCTAATCGGTAGTTTTCCGTGGTTACGACGATCAAAACCTGGCGAATGCCGGAGCAGTACCCTAACAAATGGTGCACGGACCGCGAGCGATCTTTTCTTCCTCTTCCTTGTCCTATCACCTTCCTTACTTATGCACACTTACACGTACTGCAATATTTTACATCCGGGAGACCTCGGAAGCTTAGAGCTTGTCCCGTCTGGGACGCTGCTCCCTGGCACCTGGATAGGGAAAATTCCCGCAAGCCGACGTAAATCGGGGTCGGATCTCGCCAGCCAACGGGGGAAGATCACTGACACCTCCCATGGGAAGAATTTCATTACACATACAGTATAAATGATCTTAGCAGTTGACGCGCCTGAAATCATTAGTTAATCAATCAATTCATATGCCACATAAAATTAATTGTGATACAATAGTACATACTTTCTAGAATTATTTGCCACTTTTGCAAGTTTAGATCATTCAGAGAATTCAATGAAAATTAAACGCCATTCTTTCAATCGTTCTTTCCTCTATCCAAGAAAAAAATTAAATAAAACACTTTGATCAATTTTTCTAGATTTTTTTATAAACTTTTACCAAGGCTTCATGTCAGGAACTCCCCAAACTCAAAATACCTATTTTAAATTCGCAGTGTCTCAAGATCGTTCAGATAGATTGGGGAATATAAATTTTGGAGAAAATTATCTGAACGGGTTAAGCGTTCGTATGAATGGGCAGATATAATGACTCACAGACTGAGGTTTTGCCGTAAACCAATTTTTAGGCATCAAGTACCCACAAAACATAAATTCTGACTATAGGGCGTGTTAGAGAAAATTATTTCTACATATTTTAACTAGATTTATCCACGTTTGTAACTGGCTGAAGTGTCTCAGAGCAAGAGATGATGTCACAGCAGTGCCTCTGGTCGGAAATTTCTAGGGTTTGAGTCCCGACGGTGGCAGGATTTTTGACACTAGCTAGATAGCTAGATCGAATTCAGCCATTGTCTGAAGGAGAATTCCAGCGGCCGGCTTTTCTGATCGGTAATTTGCCATGTTTTTTCCAAGGTTTTCCCAGGCGAATGCCCGGGCAGCATACTAAAAAATGGCCACGGACCGCACACGGTTTCTCTTTCCTCTTCCTTGTTTACCCTCACCTCTAGCTTAAACATACACTTACATGCAGTATACTACCACATATTTCGAAAGTACAGTCGCAAGATAAGAGCTTGTATCGTCGTACACTGCGCCTCGTCCTCTCTCGTGATAGAACATACACAACAGTTACGGGACTACTAATCTTAGCAGAAATTCGAAATAATTAATGGATTCACTTTTTCGATGTCAGGACAAAAATTCACCACTTTCCGCTGCAGCATTGCACTACTTCCCCTTAATCACGTAAGTGCGTTGTGAGCGATAAGGTATTTTTGTGTGTGCAGGTGAACGGGTCGTCGGCGAGCGCCGGGCCAGAGAATGGCGAATGCCCGGGCAGTATACTACAAAATGGCCACGGACCGCACACGGTTTCTCTTTCCTCTTCCTTGTTTACTCTCACGTCTTGCTTAAACATACTCTTCCATGCAGTACACTACCACACATTTCGTAAGTACAGTCGCAAGATAAGAGCTTGTATCGTCTTAGACTGCGTCTTTTCCTCTCTCGTGACAAAACATACACAACACTTACGGGACTACTAATCTTAGCAGAAATTCGAAATAATTAATGAATTCGATGTCAGGACAAAAATTCACCACTTTCCGCTGCAGCATTGCACTACTTTTTCTTGATCACGTAAGTTTCGTACGTTGTGAGCGATAAGGTTTTTTGTGTGTGCAGGTGAACGGGTCGTCGGCGAGCGCCGGGCCCAGCGGCGGCGCGGAGGGGGCGTCGGCCGACAGCGACGACGAGGACGATCTGCTGAGCACGCCCTCCGTGCTCGTCGTCGGTGAGTCCTCACCCCCACCCCCACCCCTACCCCCACCCAGGCTCCTTACTGGATTCCTTCCAACAAGCGACAAGCGGCTCTTTTTCAACGGCATTATAATGCGCTAAAACTGATAGATCTTTTGTCGACGTTTCTTCCTAGGCAGGGGTCTCCCCAGACGATTTCGTGGAACTTGACGTGCTTAATTTGTATTATTCTCTGTTAAAATGTATTCACGCGAGGGCATTTCTCTATCCTATGATCTCATGTGCACAATAAAATTCATCTTTTGGGGAAGCAAAACGAGTGGAAATTGAATTTCCCAAATGAAATTTATTTTTTTCCTGTATTCTGGCGTTTATTGGATCAAAGCAGCGCGCCGAAATTGCACCTCCAGATATTATACCAGCGTGTTGAAAATTGGCTTCTAATTTCTGAACACTCTAACTCTACGTCCTCTGATTATGTACTGTTGGAATAGGAATGTAGTGCAATTTCAACAATTTGCAACATGTGATTATGTTTCTGTAATATATTTAAAGATGAGAAAACTACGAATTCATTTACCATTTGTCTAATAATCACACATGAGAATATACATATATGATGTATTTTCTTCTGATGTTGGAATTATAGCATAATAAAGTATCAGAATAAAGGTATTTATTAATTAAATATATTATGTTCTGATAATTTCGATCCTAAGCAGTTTTCTCTTTGAAACGCTCAAATATGTAACTATTTCTTCTCTCTATGAATGTTCAACTTCATCTTCAATATTGAGAATTTTGAATTAAATAATTCCTTCTTAAAATAAAAGTTTAGCCAATAGAACAAACGAACAGACACAAAACAAAAGTATATTGAATATAACAGTGCACTCCAAAATTTCTATCATATCTTGAAATATAATGTTCTGATAATTTTATTGCTTTCTCTAGTTTAAATATATTAAATTTTTTTAAAAATGTTTTCAAGGTCAGGTGTCAGTTACCTTTTATTGAATACCCTTAAAGGTATTTCTTAGAAATTCTACTTATAACGTCTGTGGATTAGCTATCACATATTAGTATACATCTATTAGTTCGTCTTCCCTGACATACGCTTGTGCCATCCTATTAATTTTCTCATTTCATTTTTCAAAATTTGTGCTGTATCAAAATAATCTTCCAATGATAAGCCTACATGAAGTATATCATAAAACTCGAAACCCAATCAAAATATTTCAAAAACTAGTGAACCTCTAAATTCATACTTTTGTTATTTTCTTTACTAACAATATTGTAATGTACAAATAAATATTGCTAACAATGATAAAATATTAGATACATTTATTTAGAGTTATTTATTTTTGTTTTTAAGGACGTATTATGCATGTATAAATACTTTTGTTCAGAAAGAAGAACAAGCAACTAAATGAATTAATAGAATTGGCTCTATTATATCTGCAAAATATATTAAGAAAACTTACACCATATATTCAAAATAAGTTCCCTAATAAACTGTTCTAAATACAGTGGGATACACTAGTTGATTTCTGCCTTCAAAATATATATACAAATAATTACAAAACAATTAAGGAACAATACGACGTAGCTTGTTTCTTGAAGATTGTTTGCAAAGAAAGATGCTGTACAGATAATGTGCACTCCTTAAATCAAATTGTAGAGTAGGAAATAAAAAGAGAAGAAAACACAATTTTTCGATTTATTTGGTATTTGCACGTAACAGCGAGGCATTTAATAATATTTTAAGGAACAAACTTTGGTACATCGTCGATAGAAAGACTTAACTCTTCTATCAATATGGATACTATGAATGATACAAATGCATATAAACTACTAAAACTAAAGAACATAACAGATGCAGTCCGAAATCAATAAGACGGTGTTAGATTAAGGGCATAGGCTACTTCGTCTCAATTTTTTATTTTTCTTTATACATGGGTGATAATGGTATTTAAGACTTTTTAGCTAAAGAGAGGGTTAGAATCCTATTGAGATATTACATATAAAGAGAAGACACATTAAAAGACGTCCGTTAAATATTTGAATCCTTTTTACAGGGCTTAGGGAATTTTTAAGACTAGCCAGCACTAGCTGAAAAAGGTCCTTTCTTATAAAAAATTGAATTTTTGAAGGGCTTATTACATAATATGAAATTAATTTTTATATGAACCTGTTTCAAATGCAATGGATAATAATAGATGATATGAGAAATTTTAGAAGACAAAATCAAGTTCATGGTTTTTAAAGGTTTTCTGCAAAATATTTAAAAATGGTGATAAATAATAAAATCATTTATTGATCAATTCTGAAGAGCCTAAGAGTTTTTAGGTCGTAACACTTTATACAACAGATCGTCTGAGAGCGTAACAATTAAAATAACAAAAAATCAAGACATAAATAAACCTTCACAATGTTTTACAAAATATTAAGTGTCAACTAGTGTCTATCCCTTTTACGTGTAATAATACCAAATTCCTCTGCAAAATTAGTCTTCTGCATGCAGAATTCTGTCTGCAATGAGGTTTTTGAGGTTGATATTGGGGTTCTTCTTAACAATTCAGGGAAAGAAATGAAGATGTACACAATAAATTAGAAATATTTAATCTAACAATAATTAAAAGTCGTCATGATCCAGTTACAGGCAGAGAATGAATAATAAGATAATATCATTAGAAGTTTAAAATCTAAAAAGTCTGGTATTAATTTATTCAACTACATAAAGTAGGAAGATAAAAGAAGAAAAAGAAGGAGAAAAAAATATTCTCTTCTCGCCATTGAATTGAGAAGTCTACAGCGTTCTAAAGTAAGAATCAGCCGGCGATATAATTCACCACTCTTCTAAATATACACCTTCGCTCAAGCTCCCAAAACAGGTTGAATCTCCCCTGGGCAGTCAAATGAGGTTTGAACTAGCGAAAATTGCATAATGAGCACGAAGATTCGAGATGAAAAAGCCCTTTTCGAAACTCTACCCTGATCTTGTTAAATTGCGATCGCGTGATAAAACAAAAAATCTCTGATTAATGTGCTGGCCGCTTGCCTTCTCTATCAAATGAGATATTTTTATGATCAAAATGCTAATAAAGGTACGCTTGCTCTTCATTACAATGAGGGGCAAGCATTTGCTGCGTCATAATGAATGAACTTCATGAAACTAATGTGAACGAAAAGTATGCGTTGAAAGTAATTAATTTATATGTGCACGAAAATCAATACAAGTACATTTAAATGCATTAAAACTGGAAAAATAAAATAATGTTTAAAGTTTTCTTTTAAAATATTTTCCCCTTCTCATATTAAGTCAGTGGAACAAAATTTATTGGAATTTGACATTTAAAGTCAACTGAATCATGTTCTTTTCAGCTAAATCTTTGACTAAATCGATCTAAAGATCATAAATTCATTTACACACTAACACTAACTAAATCAGCACAAATCATAATATTGTATTAACACTTGAGTACTTACTGATTGTTTATTTGACTTTTTCTTTATAGCTCAAAATACAAGTACTTCTTGTGAAACTGTCTGCTAGCCAAAACATTGTAGGGAAACTAATATTTGCTTTGTACACCCTTCTCCTTCAACTTTTTACACTATAATGTAACTTTTTACGTATAGAAGAATCCGCCTAAGAATAAGCCTATGTGTGTATGTTTTGACATGGTTCCCGTTAAGACTTCATGGCTTCACATGGTTCACACCCATGTAATTATTTAAAAAAATAAATTTATAAAACGCAAAACACGGAAACATGGAACGTTCTCGATCACAGCTCACCACTTTACCGCACATGAGCAGCAAACACATACACAACTACGCATCTCTCATTCAAGACTCGTTTTTCAAATGAACATAATTCTTATCGCACAAAAAGTAAATTCAATATGTTTATAAAACATACTTTTTACAGAAGAGCACAGTAGCACTGCACTTCCTAATTTCAATTATTGCCCGTGGGGAACTATATTTTCGTCGGGGGAGGATATTACGAAAGGATGCCATACACAAGTAAGCCAATTGCAAACGAAAGAATGACGGAAGAAGAGTGAAATGGGCTGAAGGGTACGACCACAAAACCTACAGTTATGTTGCCAGCACTAGCTGGCAAAATGGTTCTTTCTTATAAAAATCGCTCTGTATACGAGAATGTAACAGTTGTAGCCTTTTTAGGCTAGTAAGGTAACGGCATGACGTTTAAATGTCTTTTTAACCACAATCCCGATTTTTTAAAGTTATTATACTTACGAGGTCAAAGGAATGACCAACAACATAGTTGTTACTGTTTTTCTATTCTGTCCTGTATTAAAAAGATTTTTAATGCATTTAGTACTTTTCGTAATATTAAAAGATCACTTTATCAGTACTTATATAAGCAAAAATTAACAACATTCTATTAAGAACTCAAAGAATAACATCCAAATTGATAAAGCATTTTATCGAAATTATACAAATGCCATATTTACTGGGAACAACTTCAAAAGAAAAAAAAATAATCATCAATGAGGTTTGACGTAGGTGTGCAATAAAAAATAGAATACAGCCTAAAAACATCTGAAATAACTACGTAATCGTTTGTCATTCTTTTGAGCTGGTAAGAACTCTAAGCGCGCGTGTTTCCGCGTGGTGCCGGCAGGCGCGCTGCTGTCGCTGCTCATCTTCCTGTCGATCGCGGGCAACGTGCTGGTGTGCGTGGCCATCTACACGGAGCGCGGCCTGCGGCGCATCGGCAACCTGTTCCTGGCGTCGCTGGCCGTGGCCGACCTGTTCGTGGCGGCGCTCGTCATGACGTTCGCCGTCGCCAACGACCTCCTGGGCCACTGGCTGTTCGGCGAGGCCCTCTGCGACACGTGGATCGCCTTCGACGTCATGTGCTCCACCGCCTCCATCCTCAACCTGTGCGCCATCTCGCTCGACCGCTACATCCACATCAAGGACCCGCTCAGGTGAGGCGCGATTCGCCGGGGACGGTTCTCGATTCTCGTTCATTATCGCCACTCAATCACCTTCTAGGCGAGGCGTGCGTAAAGAGTGTGTGTATCAAAGGTAAAAACCGCATAATACACCAGGCCCAAGAAACTGCTAAAGAGTTCTAGTTGCCTCAGAAGCTCAGTTGGTCAGGGCAACTTAGAGTGCAACGAGTTTCACCCCTGGTTCATTTTCTGCTCGGAGTACATTTTTAATGATTTAAATTTTGAAATCGTTTCAAATAATAATAATAGCAATAGCAATGGTCTACAAAAAAACGTTTTTCTGTAACAAGAACAAAACACACTGTTTCTGAAAGATAATTTGCCTCTCAGTCCAGATCTAATTTCAGAATTTCTGTATCGGACTCAGTTTTCCAGTGATCTTTTTCTTCAAATGCGTATGTATTATATGTATCTGGCAAAATGTCATGCTCTAATAAACAATTCAAAATAAATATTAACAACAATAACGCAAGGGTTAATAAAAATAACGAAACATATTTAAAAATATTTCCTTTCAGATTTCTTGCGATACTTAGCCTCAACATACTTTTGCATCTTCAAAAGTTACAGTAGTAGTAGTAGGACAATATTGTGCCACTCAAATTTCCTTGATAATGTTTTTCCGTTTGAATAATGACCTGGTGGAACTCATAATAGACTCGATATCACTACAAAAACTTTGTCGCTTTTCTTTTATAGAAATATTTGAAAAAAGTATTTGGCAATGACGAAAAACTGATTAGTGCAGGGGAAAAGAAGATTCAATCCTTTTAATCGCGCAGATAAAAGCTCAGGCTCTTGCTTCGACAAATTTAAATCACGAACAAGATGGTTCAGATCCTCATAACGCAAAAAATGTAGTTCATTTGAGTCAAAGGAGGTTTGAAATCTCGGGTCAGCATAGATATTTCCGTCACTCCGAAACTGTCGTTTAAATTTAGGTCGCTGTCACATTCGCAGGAGACAGCCTTACCGACATTATGGCATACAGGCGATATAGCAGGGAATACATTAGGTTATTTTACTGTTTTCTTCATTTTTGAGATGATACCACCTATTTTTTGTCAGAAAAAATAACAGTCTGTTGTGTGATTAGTTGGTTCCCTCCAAAACATGGGAACAACAAAGGGCATGCGTCGCGTAACTTTTAACCAGCATGGCAGGAGTATAGAACATATGAGACAAAGCATCTATGGGGCCCCATTTCAGGTTCTGATTGCCAACCTTAAAACCGAGATAAAAGTTCGTCACACTTCCATATCACAGCATTAAGGTTCATTTTAGGCGATTTCAGAGTTAATTCCCCACTGAAATAGCAAAATTTATTAAGGATATTTACAAGTTTCGAGGCTTTCTTCATCAAAATTAATACAACGCATAAACATTCACGAATCTAGAACAACTCGCAGTCACATCCAATTACTTAACATTCTGTTAGATGTCTCAATGCTGGGACATACCCGACAAGAAACGAAGCGATTCTAACCATTCTAGCATGACTTCTCAACAATATTGCCAAACCGCTTCTATTTCATGCATAGAAATTCCTATTTCACTTTTTGATTGTTCCTAAACAATCAGAACTGCAGAATAATTAAATAAATCTGCAAAAAATAACCAATATACAGCGTTTTCAATCACTTTCATAAATAAAGAGTTGCGTAGGAATTTAGTGTCCAAGTCTTAGCTTAGAACACCATTCAGCTTCTTTGTTAAAAAAAATTGTGTTAACCTGTGTAATAATAATTATTATTGTGATAATAGCAGTCAGATGGCCGAGATCGTTAAGCCAGTACTTCCGTAGCGGTCTCGGACCAGAAGGTCGCGGGTTGGGGTCACACTTCAGGCATTGGTGTATTTGTGTTTGTCTCTATGTGTGTCGACCTCTCATCCCTCATAATCATCATTTTATCTTCCATACTAACATGGCTAACAACCCGTAAAAATTAAAAATTAGCTCAGCGAAACTGTTGAATAATGTTTCACGTGCATATCTCCAGGGGAAAAAAATATGACAAGGTCTTGGTGGATGTAACTGTACGTTCGCTACATAAGAGTGGTCTACATAAGAGGCCAATTCGCCTCGATAAAAAAGAATGAAAATAATATATAGTGTGTGATTTGCGTTAAAATGTGGCAGGTACGGTCGCTGGGTGACGCGACGCGTGGCGCTGGGCTCCATCGCCGTGGTGTGGCTGCTGGCGGCGCTCGTCTCGTTCGTGCCCATCTCGCTGGGGCTGCACCGCCGACCGTCGGACGGGCAGCCGCCGCCGGCGGGCGCGGGGCCCGCGCGGCGAGGAGCTGCCCACACGATGCCGCCTCGCACCCTCGCCCCCGTTACGCCGTCCGTCTCGTCGCTGCGTCTTCTCTTCTAACTGCCCACGCTCGCTCATGCGCTGGGCACTCTACATCGCGCCTCTACCTCTACGCCGCGCAGAAAGCACGTACAAGACATGCGCCGTCACGCGCCCGCTCAGCGCCAACTTCGACGGCGCCGGCGCGTCGCCCTCGCACAAGGTACTCACAGCGCTCCTCCGTTGACATTCCAACCGCTAAAGCCCTTCGTCCCGTACGTATACTTTTGCCTGGGGATGCAACTGGGGTGTTCTCCCGCTGAATGGCGAGATCCGACCTCTCGTCGGATCGCGGGCTTTTTCCCGACCAGGTATCTCCTACCAGCCACCGCCACAGCAGGGACAAGCTCCCAATCGGTCTCCCAGCACGTGCGGTAGCATAGTGCATGTAAGTCTTAGTATGTGTGTGTGTGTGTGTGTGTGTGTGAAGCAGGATTGAGAACGCGGTCTGTGACCCGTTTGTTAGGAACTGCTCCCGCATTCACGTGTTGTTGAGCAGAGAAGTCACGGAAACTGGAGAAACGGATCAGAGCAGCTGGCCGCTAGAATTCTCCTCCAGACAGCGACTGAATTCAATCTACCTGCCATGCTAGTGTCGAAAATTCTGCCACAGTGAAGTCGAATCTACTACCTCACGATCAGTGGCACTGCAGTGATGTCCTAAGCCCCCTCTCACGGTAGGCGACATCAATGTTACCAACAATACATGTTCAAGATAAAAACACCACTGTTAATAATATAATCATCTGGTTTAACACTGGTAAAGTAACCCCTAATATTAAATTCATGCGCAACAAAATTTAATTTGTCAGTGGCCATGTTTATTAAATTGAAAATAAGATTTAACTGAAACTGAAGTATAAAAATAATCACAGTGAACAAGTCTGTGCCTGAAAACAAAGCACCCTTTTACTCAATTATAACTGTGGAGATTTTAAGAAAAGCACGAAACATCGATATTATAAAACGTCGGATTTATTATATCAATGTTTAAGACCTTGACGTTTGTATAAAAACCAATGTTTTCAAAACATCGACATCAATGCTGCGCATCTAAAATGTACCTGGCCGGTGCGTACTGTACGCGTTTTCTTGATATTGCACAGCGGGGGCGAGGGGAAAGCAGGGCTTTGGCTACGTCTCGGCTTCAAACGGCATACCAGCTGTTGACATGAGCATTTTGCACCAAAACGTGCCACGCAATGCATGATTATTTTAAAGGAATGAAGTGGTTGTTGACAGCGTTGTAAGTTGATGCGTGCCGTTTCGAATCGTACCTCAATGGGCCGTGGTATTCAGCACTGGACAAGCACAAGGGAGCTCATGTATTAAGAAAACTTGCTCAAGCTAATACTGGCTGGTTGACGTTGACCGTTTTTCGGAGTTGAACAATGAGAAAGGGATTCATTGAGAGGTGTACGAGCACTACTCAAACAAAAGTCTTTTTAATACATTTTGGACCATCCAATATACTAGAGTGCAACTCCATCGGTGCTGCTCCAGTCTGTCTGATATGGAGGGTTTAGGGTTCAAGTGTTGATAGATGCGAATTTTCGACTCCAGCAACGTTGGTGGGGCGAATACAACCACTGCCTGCAGGATAATTCTAGCGCCCTGATGCTCATATCGGTAACTAAATTTCATTCTGTTTAAGAAAATTCACTTTTTCTGTACAGATTGCGTGAACCTGTCGCGCCGTACTTTAAGAAATCTCCATCCGAACAAAGACTCTACGGACCTTACCTGCACGAAATCTAAGCTTTCGACTAGTTCGGTTTCCCGATTCTGCACCCTTCCGCGTTTTGCGGGGCCTCATAGTCACATATTTTGATAACTCATGGCAATAAATATTGCGAAGCCATCCAGATCCACACTAAGACGTTCCCTAATTTTGTTGCCGCCAACCATTACCAGCCAACCATGTTCCTCCTCCACCCCCCGCAACAAGGCTGCGAAATCTCGCACCCCACCACGACCCGCCACCATGCTCACACCACAACCTCAGCCCACCACGCTCAGTCCATCACGCTACGCCAACCATACCCCATCACCACGCTAAACCACCACAATGGCTCCGCAACCACTCTCCGCAACCACTCTCCGCCACCACGCTCCGCCACCACGCTCCGCCACCACGCTCTACCAACACGCTCCACCACCACGTTCCACCCCCACGTTCCACCAACACGCTCCACCACTACACACCGTCGCCGCGAACTTATCAATAACAAATAATAACTCAAATTCACAACTATTTGACCCAATGTAAATAGTTACTTTTCCGTACAAACTCAATGCAAATGAAACTAGCTTTCCTCCACTAAATATAATTTTTAATTGTTCGAATACATTCAAAAAGTAGAATTATTGTTATATCAACCGCGCGATGACGTGAATTCGTATAAACGCTTTCTATTAGTTTAATGATTTTAAATCCTACCAACGCATCTCTTGCCAATGTCTGTAGTTTTTTTTTTATTTTGTACGTCGGTTCACGCGCAGGTCCTTGTGTGCCAAACCCCTTAAAAACAGAGAGCCATTTAAGTGTTTTGTCACTGACGGTGCGCAGGTCCCATTGTCGCAGGCGCAGTCGTCGCCGTACCACGTGTCTGACCACAAGGCGGCCATCACAGTGGGCGTCATCATGGGCGTGTTCTTGGTGTGCTGGGTGCCCTTCTTCTGCGTCAACATCATCGCCGCCTTCTGCAAGACCTGCATCCCGGGCATCGCTTTCAAGGTGCGCTGCTTCCTCGTCTCCGCCGCCACGGGAGATATTTTTAAGCTACCTTTGGATCCCGGTTATTGCAGTTGCAAAAGATGTAAAGTCGCTTAAATGAAAGTGGTCCGTTGAAATAATGACGCCAGTAGGGGATGAAGGCGAAATTTTATTAAAAATATACAAGTGGTTACAATGGTTATAAATAATGGGCTTGAAGATTGATCCAGTCGTCTCAGAGGTTCACGAAATAATGGATTTCGGCTCTTAGAATTAGCTGTAAAATCAGTCTTTAATAGTGACCCAGACCTCGTAACGTTCTGCGAATTGGTGAACTTAAAGACCTTTCTGGAGTGGACCAAACCCATGTTAGAAGACATTCTATCAAAATCGCTGCGGGTAATATTTTCAAGCAGCAGCTCCATTTCCCGGCAGCTCCGTTACACCGGCCCCTCTCACTTTGTGACTACCGTGTCTATTGTCCCCTCCGAGAACAAGTGTTATATGCCATGAAAATTAGTCTTTTGTAAGTTTTTCAACGATGGCGCCTAAAAACTGACGTTTCTTGAGGCTTCAGAAGTATATGTATGGCTAATCGATGATCACTTTCATTTTAAAAATTTCATGATGATCATGATTTCACGATAATCACCTTCATTTTATCAATATTTATCATTTTAAAAATATTTAAAATTATGAAAATCACTTCGTCTCATTCACTTTCGTGTTATTTTGCTAATACACCCCAAGGCTAAATGATGCGTTCTTGCAGCTAACAATGTGATTTTAGTTATTAGTTTTTATGATTTTTTAATTAATTAACAAAACTAATGTATCGGTAAGTAATTATATTCTCCAGAAGGGAGAACTCCAAAATAGTTAGGTACACTGTACCATACGTCGATATACAACAGGTATTCTGAACGAGTATTATTGCATAGTTCTATCACATTTCATCTAACCAAATTGTAATTTCATAAGTTCAGATATTAAGTATTACTTTATTTATTTATTTATTTATTTATTTATTTATTTATTTATTTATTTATTTATTTATTTATTGAAAAATGTATCTTCAGACTTGAATATTTATTGAAAGAGATATGTTTCCGCTTATTTTCTCCTCATACGAACGTGCTAAGCGTCCATATTCCCTCATCACCGACATTCAATAATTACTCCTGAGTCTGTATTGCTTTTTCGGTCATAACTGAACTTCCAAACGTTGTTGTCCCCCTCATGACTGGATCCAATTGTGTGTGTATGAACATCGCGTTTACATAAAAATGACTCGCCGTAATGTCGTTTTTGTAGAAGAGCAGAGACGATATCATACTTCAAACGCAACAGAACAAAATGCGAGTAGATTTCATTACGAGATAGGAATTTGATCATAAATTGCTTTTTAATAGCATTGCAATCGATTTACGTTCTTCAGAAACTCGAAGTTAATTTTGCATGGTAGATTTTACATCCATCACTGTCACTGCTTTTAAGAGAAATCTTACTACATAACCATTCATACTACATAAACAAACAAGTGGTGCTACAGAATAGCACCGATTTTTCCGTGTTTGATTTCTATTTCCTTTGGTCTCAGCTGGCTATTAGAACTTCATTTTAAGTTATGGCAATGTGGGTAGATTACATCACTGGAAAAACTGCTGCTATTGCTTGACATTAGAAAACCACTGTCATCACGTCTCTTTCTAAGGTCAAGTGCCTAGAAAATTGGTATAACATATAGAACACAATATTATTTAATAAGTGTACCAATCATTCGTTAACATTATAGGACAGGTAAGTAAACTAAAATGTGTACCGCAAGCTATACACGTGTTCACTTGAGCGATTAACCAGAAGTAAACGTCTATACGTGAACCATGAAAATAGTTTGCAAAATAGTATTGCACCAAGTCATCAATGCGACATGTCATTCCTACGTTTTCACCAGAGGTGGTTAAGCCCATCTCTCACGGGGATGACAAAAGATTATTTGTCTAAAATCGTTGCATTGGAATAAAGTGTCTCAGAGTCAATATGCATTTTACGCCCAGACAGATCACGCGGTCGACTTCCATTGAAAACCTATTTGTGGTAAAATATGTATCTCGACATCTAATAACTTGTCCGTTACGTCACGCCATACGGCCACATCCAGAATTTTGATTTTTTTACAAGAACAAATAATAACTTTATGATCATGACAATTTTTTCATTAATTGCTATATATTATCCATAATATGAGACATTTAAAGATTATTATCTTGACTACCCCTAAATTAATTGTATATGATGTTAATACAATTATTTGGTTTATTTTCGAGTCATAATGTCTTGTATTGATATGTAGTTGATTGTTACTTTCCGGTATACGTACGTTTATGCGGAGTAAATTACGTAGTATAGAGAACGTTATGTAAGGCTGCTGAAAATCGATTTCCAGATTTCAACGGAAATACACCTGGGGTCCCCTGATACCGAAAAAGGTGTTCTGTACTTTCCCGAATGCATATATATATATATATATATATATATATATATATATATATATATATATATATATATATATATATATATACGGAGTAATATACATAGTGTAGGGAAAGGTACGTAATACTGCGCAAAAAAAGGCTGATTTACGTCAGAAAAAGGTCATGGCTGAGCCTTAAAAACGAAAAAGTGGATAAATCTAGTTAATAAATTAAGTACAAAGAATCCTCTAACACGAGGTATAGCCATAAATCCTGGTTTGTAGGTCCTTGGTACCGAAAAACCAATTGGCGGCAAAACTCCCGTCCGTTCCTCCGTCTGTGAACAATACTATCGCCAAAACCATGCCAAGGATTTTTTTTTCCAAAATGAAGTAACCTCTGTCCATCTGGCACGGGCCGAAGCTTTGAGATTTTCAAAAACATTCTTTAAAATTTGGGAATACTTTACATAAAATCACCCGGCCATTTTCAAGAGTTTCTCAAAAACTGCTCCAACTTATTCTTAAAATTTGTTTTAAGAATAGAGTAAAATACACTTATGGAAGTGGCATGAGTCCGATTTTCAGAATTAACAGTAAATTTTCGAAAATTTCTTAAGTTTGAATTTTTTGCGGCGTCTTCCTACAACTACAAAATTTAAAGTAGATATTTTTCCTTCAAGTGAACTTTTTTCTCCGTAATTAGTTCGTTCATGAAGGTCATGTATACTTTTTTGAAAATTTTGGTTGTTTTCGTGCAATATTACAAGAAATTTGTGCAATTTTAAAATATTACAAAACACAATATTTTCTCAAAAACGGCTCCAATTTTTTTTCTCTAAACTTGTAGTGTTGATAGTGCTAAATGTACTCTATAAGATGACATACTCTTCATATTGCTCTTTTTTTAGTTGTTTTTTAATAACAAAGCTTATTTTTGTACTTGTCTCTCGCGTCGTTAATATTTATATTAGTGACAATTTGTTTACATTACTGTAATTAGGAATACATTTACTATAAATTATGCCATATTAACTTTCTATAACACTCAACTTCTTTCTGTAAAAACTAGATCAAAATTTCGAATTTTCAGAAACGCTCAAACGCCATTTTCTCAAAAACAGTTCCAAATTTTGTATTCGAATTTTTCCAACGAACAATGCTAATTGCATTCTTTAATATGACGTAAATTTCATTTTGGGTATTTTTTTCAAAAAATAAATAATTTTTTTTAATCTCTTACGCCGTTAATATGTACATTTCTAGCAATTTGTAAACACTATTGAGATGGTTTACAATTTTACAAATTTGATTATTTATGTTGCTCGGTTAGTACTACTTTTATCCTGTAATCAATTTTGCTATTTCTAACACTACACTGACTTTACAAACATGAGTTCATTATATAATTCATTTCCTTCTTATTTTACTATTATATGTGGACGTGCTGCTCTGTACACAGCCGCTATTCCCGGAATTTCTGCTGCATTATCCTGTTATTAAAAATAAGATGGCAAATTTTTCAGTCCTTTATCTTTGTTTGACAATAAAATGCTTCATAAAAAGTTAAAATTTATTCTACAGATTTACATTTTTCTTGAGCTCAATAGTGACTGGAATTATATTTAATTTGTACATTCAAAAAATTCCGTACGGTATTTCTTTCGTATAAATAATCGTAAGCTTACGGAAATATCTTCTACGCAGGTCTTCAAGATATCTTTCATCCGGATGCCGTCGGTGGGATGTCCTCGCGATTCTCCTGCTATTGTCATAAATATTGGCAGCGGGAAAAGTTTTGTAATGTTTCTCGAAAATCCTAACTTTTTCATAATAATATTCAATAACCCGATCTATGCAAATTAAAGTAGTTCCTAAATGCGATTTTCTCTTCCTGCGCCTCGGATGATTTGTCTGCATCCAATTCTAAAGTAATCATACGTTCCATGCATATTTCCCTTCATTAAATGCCTCGAGGGAAGTTCTGGTATGTCACAGTATTAGTGAGTTAAAGTGCTTCAAATGCTTTCAATGAAGATTTTTATGAAAGCAAACATTTTCTGTAAAAAAGATCTTCAAATTTTTAATTTACAGTAACGCTTAAGTGCCATTTTCTCAAAAACGGCTATTTTCAAAGTATACGGCCATTTAGCAGTAGGTTATACTATTTTTTAATATTCTTAAAATAATATTCCCGATCTACTATCAGGAAACCGACAAAAACATTTCAAAAAATGTACTTTGGGGCGATAGATGGCAACTGACAAAGTTAGTATAGCAAGCCGAAACAAAAGGAAGTAGAAAACTAATACCGGAAAGTCTGTGCCATTCTGTAGCACCACTAGTTTATATAATGAACTCTAATATTAATTGGACAATATTAGCTAATTGCAATTGCAACAAACTCTTTTAAAATTAACATTCCAATTTAACCCTCGTAAAGTGTTTTGTATCCCCTTACATTCATTTTTTGCTCGAAACACTATTTAGATATCCAGAGTCGTATACCATCCAAGATAAAAATAAATGAAACTATCTATATTTCGAATTTTAATTTGCTTATTTAAATATAAGATTCCAATAAAATAAACTTAACTATTAAGAAAGATTTTTTTGTCTCTGGTGCAATGGAAAAAAAACACCCGCCGCGTCGTGTTGCAGGTGCTGACGTGGCTGGGCTACTCCAACTCGGCGTTCAACCCCATCATCTACTCCATCTTCAACAAGGATTCGCGACGCCTTTCGCCGCATCCTCACGGCCAACGCGGCTTACGTGCCCTGTTGCTCCTGCTGCCCCGCCAAATGCGGTTACGAGGCGGTGGGTATCTCCCCGCCACCCACCCAACCCACCCATTCCAGTATAGCTAGGCCAACACGGCTTAAGCCTCGGCCATTTTAGTTTGAATGTCGAATTGTAGTCGAGAAATTAAAGCCTTCTCTAAAAACGTTTATCAACAGCGAAGTGCGTTGATTAGTGCACGTGTGAGGCGAGTTTTATCAACTCTTTTACAACACAAACCCTTTAATGAGTTCTTCGTAACTCGTTATCTAAGGCCATCTTAAAACTGAGCCTCTGTGCAGCGCCTTGGGAATCGTCCGGCCGCACCACTGAGCGTGGGAAAAGAAGGATTCATAAATCACATCGAAGTGGGCCCAGGCGGTCGTTAAACAGCCAACACGTTAACAGCTTAAGTCAATGGCTGCTTTTTGAATTTCGTTTGCTGACGGTGGTGCGAATGCGCTACTGTTGTTGAGGTTATATCTTTTTATTATTTTTTATTTTCTTTCTTACCCGTTCGGGGATTATTATTTGCGAAATTAGATAAGATACATTTATTTGAACTGCAAATGGGCATAACGCGGTGGCAGCTAATTACATCAATAAGCTAATACAGCTAACATGCAAAAGTATATAATAATAATAATAATAATAATAATAATAATAATAATAATAACATAAATAATAAAATAACAATAAAATAACATAAATAATAAAATAACATAGATAATAAAAATAATAATGATATAAAACTGTCTAATTTATAAAACATTTAAAATTACCTTAAAAAACAACATAATCAAACTCCGCACTGAATTTTTGTTCAACTACACTTCACTACACTTTACTTCACTTCATTAAGACCCTTTAATCACTTTCTACATTACTTCTCTGTTCCACACGGCACGACATCTCACTTAACAATTTATTACTGACACATCGCTCTATAACCTACTATTGTTAGCTAATTCCCTCATTTATTTAGTAATACCTTAAATTAATTTCCTAAAATGTTGTACGCTACGAGGAAAGGGTTCAAAGGTTTCTGCAGGCAATGTATTCTATTCTTTTATCGTTCGATTTGTAAAAGAAAATTTCCCCGCATCTGTTCTCTGCGGTCATAAATTTATTTTGTGCCTGTGATCCCCCTACTGATGTATGTAGGAATACTTAGCCGACGATTAATTTCTTTCCAAGCTGGATGACCGCTATAAGCTTTATACAAAGCGCACAGTCTTGCTACTGATCGCCTATTTTCTAGGGAATCCCATTTTGCCAATTTCTCGTCCCTAAAAGTAAATTTAGCTGCACTACGCTGAATTCTTTCTAAATTTTTACACTGCATAATTTAGTGCGAATCCCAACAAATTGTTCCATATTTCATTATCGGGTGAATAAGCGATAAATAAGCAATTTCCTTCGCCTTTGCCGTACTCTTTGTTAAGGTGCGCATTACAAAGTAGAGAGATCTCCAGGCTTTCCCTACAACAAATTCTACGTGACTTTTTTAGCTGCTTTTACTATCGAAATGGATTCCTATGTACTTGCGTGAAGAAACTATCGGAATAATGTATTTTTAGAAGGGTAATTTGTTTCTCTGTAATTACGACTCCTGCCAAAAGTGATGGATTTGCTTTTGGAGCTATTTATGGTCATTCAATTATTTTTCGCCCAGAAATGTATCGCATCAAGATTCCGTTGCAACATTGCTTAGTCTTCTTTCGAATTCACATTACAATATATTATGCAATCGTCTGCAAAAAGCCGAACATTTGATATTAATTGCGCTGGCAGATCATTGACGAGCGCTAGAAATAGGAGAGGTCCAATGACACTCCCCTGCGGTATTCCTGACGTAACGCTTGTCCCGGTAGAAAACGCATGTCCAATTCGGACTTTCTGTTTTCTGTCTCGCAGAAACTCGCTAATCCACGCCACCATCCTGAAATCTGTGCCTGAATTCATTAACTTCTGTACGAGCCGATCGTGGGGAACGACATCAAACGCTTTGGCAAAATCTATAACTATTGCGTCTACTCGCCCGTCCGCGTCAATTTCACCTGTTAGATCCTGAAATAGCGTGGCTACCTGACTCACATGAATAACCACTCCTGAAGCTGTGTTGGCCATCATAGAGCCATTTTTTGATTTACCATTCTTGCTTAATGTAACTGGCAACTAGATACTCCACAAGTTTGCAGACCACTGAAGTAAGACTTACTGGTCTATAATTACTTAAGATAGTTTTGTCACCACTTTTAAAAATTGGTACGCCAAAACCTAATTTCCAGTATTCAGGTACTTTAGAGTTGTTTATGGATACGTGAAATATTCTAATTAGGTAAGGTAATATTGTCTCTCCCTCTAGTTTAATTATGTCCGTAGAAATGTCATCTGGACCCCTTGACTTACCATTTTTCATATATTTTACTTTATTCCGTAGAACATTCACTTCAATATTAAACTGATTTGTATCCGAAGACCCCTGAATTAATCATTGGTTTGTATTGCTTTTGAATACCGAACTCAAATACTTATTAAAACGCATTAGCTTTTGCCCGATCGTTTGTAATGAGCGTGTTTCCGTTCTCACGAACAACTGGGATATCCTCTTTATTTCCTTTGCTTCTACGGACATATTTATAAAATCCTGTACAGTTATTTCTCTTCCCATTTGGAATATTCTGTAAATATGCTTCCTGAGCCATTTTCTTTTCTTGCTCCAATTCTTTCGAACGATAACGAAAAATTTTCATATGTTGCATTTTCTGTTATTGAATTCCTTTCTCGTTACGCTCTTGATTCTCCTAATTTTTGCATTGTAGTATTCTGGGTCCGGATTATGTTTTAAAATTTTGCAGGTAACAAACCTTTGCAAAGCTTTGTGTATTTTTTCGTGTACCTTTGAACGCACCCCATTTTTCTTCCATACCTCCCTCGGTTCTCAGAAAGCGATTGTATTGTTCCCTAAAAAACCTTGAAGCCCGTCTACATTTGCTTTCTTGTATTATCGTACTTTTGTTCCTATCGTGATGTCTTTCCTTGAAATATTTTTGTCTAAGTCAAGCAGAACCGCTTTGTGGTCGTTAACGCCCTCAACAACTTCACAAGATGTGAAAAGTTCTTTCGGCCTAATTAAGTAGACATCCAAAGTCACCTCCAATAACAATGGGATGGCGATTATCGCTTCCTGTTTTCTGAATGATAACATCTGAAATGTCGAAACCATCGCTCCTAGACCTATAGCATACAATGATTTCTAATATGGTTCCTGAAGTAATAATTTCTATTCCCATCATTTCAAACTCTGTACTGACACAATCTAATCTAATATCCATGCCTGCAAACAAAAACTTCGCCCCCTCTACAATTTCTATCCCTCCTGAAGATCTTGTAATGAGAATGAAAAATTTTAGAGGACCCGATTTCCTCAGTTAGCCATGACTCAGTCCCTATCGCTATGTCTGGATCACGGGCTTCAACTAGATTCCAAAACACTATTTCTTTATTGATTATGCTCCGACAGTTTACCTGTCACAACCTTAAAAACCCTTTCCTCACCTGAATGTATTCTCGAGAAGGCGCGTCCCTCGAAGTCGTCTCTGCCGCCGTCGTCTCTGCCGCCGTCGTCTCTGCCGCCGTCGTCTCTGCCGCCGTCGTCTCCGCCGCCGTCGCCGTTGAGCCGCCGCCGCTGTGCACCGCACCGGCGTGGTGTTCACGTGCCGTTCTCGCCGCCTCGCTGTCGTCCTCGCGCTCTGCAGTAGTCTCAACGTCGTCTTCATCCTGCGCTGCCGAGTCGTTCCCGCCCGTTACCACCGCCACCGTCTCTGTTTCTCTTAAGTCCTGCACAGCCGACTCGTTCACGCCCATTGCCGCAGCCTCTGCTCCGACGATGAATTCTGGAGTTGATGATTACACCTCGTCGTTTCCTTTCACAGTTGCCCTTATCTCTTCATTCGGTCCTCCCTTGCTTCTCAGTTGCTCCACCCCACCCACAATTTACTGTCGCTGCAGCGACCACCGCTGAGAAACCTCAACCGTGCAAACCTCGGGGTTTGGTCTCGCAGGCTCTAGAGAACAGGCTCCCAAGATTTTTCGCACCCTTCCAATTTAGATGCAGCCCGTCCCTGACAAAATCGCTGTGGCGACCAAAAGCCTCACGCGGGCCGTCACGAATCCAGGAATTCGCGTCAACGAATGTCACATCAAGAAGTTCCGCCACCGACTCGTATCTACCATTAATTTCTGCAATTTGACGACAGAAGATGTCTTTTCTTCTCAATATACCACTTGGCACAATCTTAGCTGCGGAAACCTTCTTTTGCGCCGCTGCGGCAAATTCGAACACATTGCGCATAATGTTCTTCCTATTTCCTTTTAAGTTGTTTGTTCTTACATGAAGAACGTCTGGGTACCCAAGTCTTTTCTTTCGATATATCTTCTTAATTGATCGACACGAATACCCTGGTAAACACTTCACTTTCATTTTCTTTTCCTTCCTCACGTGTCGTACAATGGAATCACCAATTACAAGCACGCAATCAGCTGCAATCCTATCTGTCTCATCAGTTGCCTTTCTCACTTCCTCGTTCACTATCTTACCCGATTCTTCGTTTCCTGTTTCAGTAAATGCTGCGATTTCTACGTTGCCGCTCAAACACCTCTTCTCAGTACTTACCTCATCTGGGTTCGGTGATACTTCAACACTTAGCACCTTTTTCCAATTGCTAGTTTTTTTGCGACAAAATCTCCCCCAACTTCTACTGTTCCAAAAGTTTCCCTTTTACTTTGCGGATTCGTCTGTCGCTTCGATTGCATTTGCTGCATTCGACATTCGCTGCCTCCATTCCATGTCCGGGATTCATTTCTACTCCGCCAATAACCAATAATGATGCAATAACGCTAGCCCACAGAAGCGTCACCTGAATACCGCCGTAATTCGCCTGGCCCGGCTGCAAGCCAACACGAACACGTGGTAAACGCGCGTCGTAGGTACCAACGCGCGCCCGGTAGACCGCTAACCTGCACCCCATGCCTTTCACTGTTGAAGAGCTCCCGGAAAACACGTCCACACCCGACGAGAGACACTGAGACACTGATATGTGTGTATATGTATGTATATATATATATATATATATATATATATATATATATATATATATACATACATACATACATACATATATTACATAAACATAACTGTCTCTTCCACTTACATCATGGCACAAGAACACTCACTTGAGCTTATGTTTCAATCTATCTACAGTTTCTGTTTACCTTTAATACAAAAAAATATACAAAAAACATAAAGTTAAAATACTACACTCGTGACACATATATACCGTTATTACAATCACATACAATGTTTATAATCTCATTACCAGCAATTCATGGCGGCTTTAAGCGAACTTTTGGAAAGCGCGACAATATTCTTAATGATGTATAAGCTATCCGCCCAAGGTTGAATGTTCTTTTGCTAGGACACGCTTCAAGCCTTAAATAAAAATGTTTCGATAGGTTCTTTAAGTACCCTTTAATGAAGCTAATTTTCATTTTGGATTTGTGCATTAGGAGGAAACCAGGGAGCTTTGATAACCAGTCTTAGAAATTTGTTTTGGATTATTTCCAATTTATTAATATAGCGTGTTTGCAGCGCCTTCCCATACTGAGCACACGTAGGTGAGCTACGGGCGAATTATAGATTTAAAAATTGTTACTCCGTTTTCTATTCTTAATGCAGAGTTTTTATTTATTAATGGGTAAAGTTTGATCATTTTTGTATAGGTTTTGTTAGCAATATCAACTATGAGGTTCTTTCATGTTAATCTCCTATCTAATTTAACTCCTAGATATTTGACGGGTTGCTTATATTCATCCAGAGAACAGAATTGTAACTGATGGATGGAGGATTGTTAATAATGGAGGGGTTATGAATATTTTAAACAAGAAAATTATAGCTTGTGATTGGTTAGGTTTATCTGGATTCTCCATTTATCCGTACATTTAATTAAGATATTTAAATTGTTTTGTAGTGCAATAATTGCAGTGCAATAAATGCAGTGCAATAATCAGTTACAAACTTACACTTTAAATTTATTGTTTCTGTATTTTACTTCAAAATTTTTAATTTCATTTTTCACAATATCATCTTTAAGCAGTTTAAATTTAGCAATTTATCTTCTGTTTTATTGTAATTTTGAATGATAAATGGGGGAATTTTTACTGCTTTGAATTCACTATTGTCATCTAGCGATTCAAATCTGTTTCTTACAAGTACGTTATAAAGCATTTGATTTACCTCTGTTGGTGAACGTTTTCGTCTTTATCACTTTACACTTCACTACAATCACTGTTTTTTTGTTGGTTTTTTTACATATATCTACCTTTTTTGGATGAAGCGTTGGAAATACAATGAATAGCGCCCTGTCCGAGATGCTCTAAATTCTTTTTGTTGTTTAGGGATTTCTCGTCAAGGTTTTGTAGTTTCGATGGAGGTAGCAGATCCCCGGCAGTGCCATGATGTAATTGCGGCGGTTGAACTGTGTCTGGTTGCGTTAAACCTTGTTGTTGAGTTTGCACCATGTTTTGCATTATACCCTGCTGTGGCAAGTTAACACTCAATTGTGACAGGAATGGAATGTACCCAACCTGATATTGCGGCAACAATTGACCATTTTGAAACGCGAACATAATGTTATTTTCCATTGAGCTCGAATGACAAGTCACTCCGAAGATTGCTTCTTCACCGTTTGTAGCGTCCATTGACATTTTTGTAAATAAATAAATAAATAAATAAATAAATAAATAAATAAATAAATAAAAATAAATAAAAACAAATAAAAATAAATAAAAATAAATAAATATAAATAAAAATAAATAAATATAAATAAAAATAAATAAATATAAATAAAAATAAATAAATAAATATAAGAACATGTAAAACCTACACCTGGTTTTACTAGTAGACACTTCCACGATTACTATCAACGCGTCGATAACACAGTTAACTCACTGGTAGTAGTAGAAAACTTATTACGGGGAGCGACTCTCGCAGAGGTCTTACCCCGACGGAAGCTGAGCTCGAACTGAGGTTAGATGACCGCCACTGCCCTTTCATCGGAATACTTCCATTTCAATGAAGACTTTGCTACCAAACCTCGAAACTCTTCTAAACTCTTTTAGATGCCTCCACGCATTCTGAATGACTCCCACAAGCTCCTCCAACCCTAGCAGTCATCAAACAAGCGTCGGTGATGCGTTGGTGCTTCACTCCCCAATGCATTTAATGGTGCGAACTTTTCGAGCATTATAGAAAGTTGTGGCGAATGTTTGTGGGATAACATTGGAGCGTTAGTTTTTATTAACAATTCAAAATTAAATAAAACAAATAAACAAATAAATATAAATTCTAAATTCTGATATCTCGGTTATTGTGTAGCAAAAAGAGTGGAATATTACAATAAATTGGTTATACATTATAATTTGAAGATGAGAATACTAAAAAACTTTGAGGCATTTAATTAATTTAAACAATAATATTCTTTTAGATAAGGACACTGCTAACAAACAATGAAAGTAGAAGGCTAAGAACATTAGTTACTTCTGACTTTGGAATATGTTTTCTTCGTACTTGTCTTCGGTAGGTTAACGATGAGTAACTCTCGTGGAAAAAAGACACTGAGAGAAGAGCTTGTTGGTCTGCCAGTTTTCTAGCCTTCGGTAGCAGGGATGCGACGTCGATGTTTTAAAAACATCAATGTTTTTAACATCGATGTTTTCTGCTCGATTGTTTTTTGTTTTTTCCCAGAAAAAATCGTTTGTAGAATCACAATTTTATAAAAGTGAATATATGAAATAATAGCTGATGGGACCACTGTCTGTTTATATGTTCCTACCAAAAGAACGCGGGTTCAAATACTTTTATTGAACGTCGTGACATCTCGACTGAGATGGCCCTGATGTCCTAATATTTCTTTGATTTTTCATTGTATTTTGCATTTGGTTGTTTTTAACTTTATTTTGAGTTAAATTTCAATTATAAATTTATATACACAGCTCCTGTTAAATAAAATTGTGTTACACACGAATTTAATGTTAGGGGGTACTAGCCCAGCTTTAAAACATCGCTGTTAAAATGTGTGTAATATACGCAACCATTGCGAAATTAAATTTTGTTTTCGACGAATTTAATGTTGAAGGTTAGTAACGCAGCTTCAAAACATCGATGTTTTTTGTGGGATACGGATGTTTTAATTTTGCGCATCGATGTTTCGTAGTCGCTGTCGCATGCCTATTCGGTAGCTCGCCCGCGGGCGCGCTGACGCGCGTGTGGCTCAGCAGGGCGCGTGCGCGGGGCGTGCGCAGGTGAGCAGCCGGTCTTCGCTGGCGGCGCAGGGCCAAAGGCGCAGCAAGGCGAGCGTGGACTGCGGCGCGCTGGGAGGCGGCATGGGCGCGGGCGCGGGCGGGCAGCGGCGCGGCAACGGGGCGTGCGCCGCCGACGCCGTCACGCCGCGCTCTTCCGCCGGCTCCGCCGCCGCCGCCGCCGTCCCCACCGCCGTCCACGCCTCCAAGCCGCCGCCCCCGCCGCAGTCGCCGGCGCAGCCGCAGCCGCCGCCGTCGCCCCCGCAGCCGCGCCTCGCCGAGACGCGCGTCGACTCCACGGAGCAGGACCCCGAGGAGGAGGTCAGCGCCATCTGAAGAGACGGCCGCAGCCGCGGGCGCTCTGGGCCCCAGCGCGAGCCCGCCTTCAACCTCTCTCTCCGAGGGATGCGACGAGATGTCCCCGCCAGCACTCCGAAGTGCTCCCTTCGGTTCGGACGACTGTTTGTGCGTTCGTTCGCCCTTACGAGAAAGCGAATTCGACCGTACTGGGATCTTATTTCCTAGAGGCGCAAATATTTTCTCTCGCGGTGCACTTCGTCGGAGCATTTCGTTCCCTTCGGCCGTTTGCTCGTTCCTAAGAGATCAAAAGATGTTACGGAAATTTGAAAAGAGGTACTCATTAGACAAATTGCATAATCGGTCGTTCCTTAATCCTCGGCAAGAATCCTCATATTCATGTGTGATTAACGGACAGAATAAGACGTAGACGTGATAACTCAACAGAATTATCGTAACCTTGGCGACAGAGAAACAACTAATGTGAGAATCGTCCGTTCTCTCTGTCTCGTAACCCCTTTGAAAATAGTGGCATGTACACGATACTCCAGTTACGGCAGTCTCAGAAGTACGTTACCACTGATGAGAACTCACATTGGCTTGTCGGTTATATCTGCTTCTCGTCCGCTTCCTTGAGAACAAATTTCCATCGAAATATGCCGCCTAGTATAACGAGCAACGCTACTGAACTGAACCATATGATGACGTTTCTTTTGCCTCCGCAGGTTATTCGTCCTGGAATTATTTTAGGAAAAATAACATCGAAATATGCCTGCGGGCAGCAATTGGTTGGTATGCTCATAATCGCAGTCATTGCTACGAGTGGGAACTTTGTACACATGAAGATGTCTCTTGGACTATCCTTTCTTTGCGTCAGGTGGTAACTTCTGAGTAACCTGGAAGTAGTGTAAGCCTTGTCGGTTTCCATTAAAACTGTTCTTCTACTGCGACGGCTGCATAGCTGAAGCACTCAACATGGATTTCAGATGTGATTGCCATATCTTATGGACGATTTTTTTAATCGTGCTCTGAATAATTATTCATTATTTGGTGAATATTTTAATTAGTTCCAGGAATTGCGGAGTATCGTTCGCAGTTTGTGTCGCGAGGTGTCTTCGACAAAACTATATTAATTAAAAAGGGGGATTAAAGCGATGGTAAACTAATATTCGCAACAGAGAACTCGTTAAACATCAACGTTATGCTATTTGTGTAGATCCAGTTATGGCTCGGATTTCAGATGTGAAAAATAAATATAATTATAATGGTGTTGCATCAATCCTACAACGTGCACGTAAACGTGTTCTCAATCAGCCAACTATAATACCAACTTTTCAATTCGCCTGGATTGTGGTTAGAACTATTTTTGTGTGTGGTGTTTTCACTTTTCAAGGCAAAATATAAGAATAAAAAGGTCAAATTAAAAAGCAAGAATCATCAGCGTTGAAAAGGTTAAATACTTTCTAGAAAATGCAACGAGTAATGTCTACAGAGTCAGAGAGAATTTCAGAAATATATATTTTTCCAAAGCTTCTTGGATCTATATTCCGAAAAACGCACGTGTCATTAGAGACATCTCACTTATTATATTATGAAAAAATAGAGGCAATAAAAGCATATGCCCTATTCTTAGGTCCATCCAACCAGTCCTTGATTCGTCGTGAAAAAGCTAAGTTTCACCTTTATTGAAAGTAGAACTCTAAACTTCTTGAGCCAGAGTTGATTATCTGCTTCATCCAATAATGATTTTTATGAAAATTTCGAGCAACGTTTTGGCACTCAATTACCATACTGTTCTGCAAAACTGTATTATTGGTGAACGAGCTGGTCTCGTAAGCACTGCCGAAAATTATTTGGACTCATCAGAAGTCCTAAATAATTAAGTTAATGCTCTGCTGGCAGGGCAATACTACTACTAATAAGGAAGTAATAATAGGACATAAACAATTGAATTGGTAATTATACGTATACTTTCCTTAAAGGGAAACAATATGTTTGCTCTCTAATTTAATTTTCTACAGTTCTTTGTATACAGTTTTGTATGTTCTCTGTTGCTTTGAACATTTGCCATATAATTCATTCTTTGGTTTCTCTCTAATCCTAGTTGTGTAAGAGACATTTCATATTTCCTTAGAGAATTATTGTTCCCAGTCATTTTGATTCCAAATATCTCGAATTCCGCCGCGTTCAAACTTAAAAACGCAGTTGTGAACTTGGATGTGTGTCTCTTAGTAAACTTACCTCCATTTTACAATGTCAAGAAAGCTGTAGGGTCCCCACAGTCTTCGTTTTTTATTTGTTAGTCCAGATTGAACGTCAAAAGGTGGTTTCGTAGTTATTGTGCTATTTAGCAAGCAATTTCTTTATCGACTTTTAGGAAGTTCTCAAATTGTGCAGACCATTGCAAACTGACTCTATCAAATATTTAGATAGAATATTTAAGATAGCACTTATCTCAAGTCGACGTCAGTTCCTTTTAACGAGCGATGAAGCGATGCCAGTCACGGAAATGTGGCTTACGAAATAAGCCAGTTTGATACCCACCAAATATGAATATGTTGGCAATACTGGAATTTTGCAGTAGTTGATGTTTATTAATCACAATGACATATCAGTATTTATATAAATGTTGAATAAGAGGAACTACCAACTCAAGATGGCTTTTTTAAATTAAAATAGCATACAATAGTTTTATTCAAGTTTCATTACAACCAAACTTTTTTTGTCTCCAAGGTATAAAAGTAAAAATTAAAAATTGATCTTTTAAGCTATCAGTGACACGAAATTATTTATGTGAACATGCAAGCAAAAATGTTATTCATGAAAAGGCAATATACAATATTATAGCCATTGTTTATGAAGTAATGTATTCACTGCAAGTCTACAAATGATTTCAGCATGAATTGCATAATGCATTTTCTGTTATTGAAAGAATTTGTGTCTTAGAATTGAGTGGTCATGATTTGCAAAGAAGGGCAATGCGAATTCACTACAGAGAGACATCTAATATGCATTCAAACAAAAATATTACACCAAAATGGCTGTTTCCAGTCTCTACCTACTTCAAATTCACTTTGATCTATATAAGCCATTTGAATAGTGATCCTTCACCCATCAAAGTGTGCTCAAATCTCAGAATACAAATGCATCGCTTGAAACCATTTGTGGGACACTGATCCACGTCAGAAACATCATAAGTAGGTACTAATCAATATGTACTCAAAAATAAGATGAAAATATTATTAAATTCTGATCCTCTAACAATTCCAAAGTTTACCAGAACTTGAGTGAAAATCTCAGTTTTGTCATTCACCTTAAATACACATATATTTTGTTGCTTACATTTGAATATTTTGGTTTTATATATTATATGTTTGAATATTGCAGAAGCAGATTTAATAAAGAACATGAATGTTATTGTTCAGTTCACGTTCAGAGAAACACGTTGTAAGAAACAATAAAAAGTAAACATTGAAAGTACTTTAATAATATTTGTGTTAATGATCTACGTAGCTATTAAAAACAAAATATTCTAATGAAAATTAGCAAAATATGAAATTATCAAAACTGCAAAATGAAAATTATGCCCAAAATACTGTGTAAATTTCTAATGTTCTCGAAAGTTAAATGCCATAATAAAGAGATCCAATACCCCAAACCAAGATCTGTCATTAAGAACTGCCAGTGATATACTGAAAGGGGTCTCAGAGCTTCACCCCTCACCCTCAGAAGCTGATGACACCCACATTCACAAATGTTATTTTTACTGATATCTATAGTAATGAAATTTATTCAATATTACCATTGAATGTGTTATAAATAATAAAATGAAAATATATTTTGAATTAAGTACAAACAATTTTGGTATCAACTTCTAAAACAAAACATGTTTAACCAAGTGAAAACATCAGGGTGGCTGCAGATTACACATATAGCTTCTACCCCTTCCACCACCCCACTAAAAAATCAGGTTGTAATGGATTGTGAATGAGTTTAAAAATGTGTTCCAGAAAATAAGAATGTATCCTCAACAAATTAGATTTCTACTGATAAGACTGGCTTTGTTTACATATTTGGCCATACAGATCAAAAATATAAAATGACGATAAAGAATTAAAAATTGTTAGGTATGATGAGAACATAATATTAAAATAACAAATAATTTTATCAGACTGTATGCCGATCAATACTAATTTCCATCAAGAATCCTCAAAAAATAAATGAGATCTCATTTCTGAAGTTGATGAATCTGCAGAGACAACAATTACAAAACTGCTTGTAAATGGCAATTAGACCGCACAGTTATGAAAGAGTGCACAATTCGTGGTGGTGATCTATTTCTGAGCCTCCACATTCATTCAAAATGAGTTGAAACTATTATACTTTGTTAAAAAATGAATACATTTAATATTTGGATGTAAAAATATATCCCTAAAATAAATTGAATGTAGTTCAAAGGATTTATGAAGTACTTATATAATTGTTTGGTTTCAAATCCCCACAAGGAAGAGATTCTCAAAGTTCTAGCTTATGATTAATCTCAGCCATTCATCAATTTATTCATGACAACCTGTATTGACATCTAATGATGAATGCAACATTAATACAGGGGTCATAAAAGCATTGACTCAGCCACGAGACAATTCTATGAGTCCTATTCACTTGGTGACGTCAAACCATTTATTGACAATAGCCAAATCATTTTGTTTCCTTGGACTGGCCATCATTTGGAAGAGATGTGTGATATCTCAAGAAAGTCATTATTTTTACATGCAACATGACAACGTTTATAATTAGGTTCCACATGTGGAATTGTTATCAAAGATGTTCATATAAATCATTACATATTATACAAAAGAATTGCTTACCTAAAATAGAAGTATTCCTAAGATAATAAACATCATCACAGACAAGAAATGAAAAGATAACTTGTGAAAAATTATTTTCCTAAACATAAATTTGTAGTCAATTTGAATTTACAATTGAAGTGAACTTTTTAAAAGCTTTGGCATACAGAACTATACAATGTATTCCTTTCAAAATTAAGTATT